GACACACAGCAGGTAGAATCACGCTTAGAAGAACTTAAGGAGAAGGATGCTTAAAGTAATGTAGAGCAGGATAGAGGAGATTATCTCTTTTTTTTTTTAATGGCTTGACTTTATTTTTATTATTATTATTATTTTTTGGCTGTCACACAGCACAGCTTGTGGGATCTTAGTTCCCTGACCAGGGATCAAACCCGTGCCCTCGGCAATGAAAGTGCGGAGTCTTAACTACTGGACCGCAGGGAAATTCCCAGAGGAGATTATCTCTTCTTGGAGGGTGGCAGCAGAGGTGGGAATGTGTAGCAGGCAAGAAGCTGTTAGTGGAGAACAGTAAATGAGCCGAGCCCAGCTGGATGAGCAGGTTCTAACTGCTCTGCATGAAGAGAGGCTGTGGGATGGTGTGAGCTGGTGCAAGAGACGTGAGACAGTGAAATGACTTCAAGGAACTTACCAAAGTGTACGGGAGCAATAGGTGACAATGCCCAACATGTTACTGAGATCCATAATGTACTTACCCTGCACCATGCTTCACAGAGCCACTTTATCAATCATGAAGTCCCTTTCCTTTTGCCTGAGAGATATCTACAGATAAGAGGGAAAAAGAAGGGCAATAATTTATCTTTACAAATTAAAGAATTGATGTGAATTAAGCTGTATTCAGAGTAGAATGGCCCAGGATCAAACGGAATGAACTGGAAACTCACGGGGGAAGACATGTTCAGATGAGTGGCTTCACCATTAATTTTTAAAAATATTTTTCCTAACTGCAAAAAAGCAGAACAATCTACTCTTCTGTATGAGCATACAGTGAAGAAAATGGTGAAATAAAAAGCGCACTAAGAATGAGGAAGAAAAGCATTACAATTTACAAAATATATATTTTCACACCAAACTCTCGCAAGAGCTCTGGGAGGTGTTACTCTCCTTTTGTGATGGAGGAAGAAACTGAAACTCAATAAGGCCAGTAATTTGCCCATGGTCATCCAGCCAGTAGGTGGTGTAGCTGGGATCAGAAGTCAGGACTGGTGACTCTAGCACTATGCTTTAACAACTCTGTTGTACTGACTCCCTGATTAATGGAAGGACTTAACTTCAAGACTTAAGTGGAAAATGCAGTGTTTTCAACTCAAGAAACAGACTTCAATCAAGATGGTTAATGACAATTAAATTTTACAACCTAACACAGCTCTAGTTTTGCTAAGATTTATCTATCTAAAGTGTTTGATACACGCACACATACACAAATACATAAAGACAGCAATATGTATTCTAAGAAAAAAATTAGGTACCCCAAATAAGGTATATATTCTTCTATATACATGTGAAATATGCTGTCCTAGTAAAATACAAAATATCAAAGATAGGAAGGCTATGAGTACCTATAGATTCTTCTATTGGTTCATCATTAAAATTTTATTCAGAATGAAGCATACACTTTCCTGGGAGCTAGCCCTTGGTATCAGTGTATTGTACTGTCACCTACTCTGGCACTGCAAAGGTCAGATTTGGCCAAGATGTCGGTAATAGATTTATAAACCACTGACTCTCCTGCATTAGCTCTCTGTCCATCCCAAGACACTAATCAGGATGCACTTACCCCATGCATCATCCTGAGCAGCACACGGATGTGAGAGCCCTCAATTATGGCTTAGACCAGCTATGTAGGGCCAGTCAAATACATTTTCTGCATTGCTTGATCATTCTCTTGGATTTCGTTGAATGAGGCCGTTTTGGAACAACTCATTCAACCAAAAGCTCAAGACACTAAGAATATCCAGGGAATGTAGCTATAGCTTGATTAGATCATTTAATGCCACTCCATTTCTGTTACATTATTTTCTCCCATAACTATAAGATGACGTGAAAGAACATGTCCCAAATATGGGCCTTCATGCCTCTCACTGACTGCTCACTCTTAGAAACTAAAAGTCACGGTTCTCTCTGTCTTGTAGTTCCTTCTTTCCCTCATTCTTGCAGCTGTATGTCCACAGGAGAGAAGAGGATAATTTATCAGTCTATGCTTCAGGGTTGAGAAACATTTTTAGATTAAAATATTCCTTTGTGGAAGACCTACTCCTCCACAACATGGTAGGGAGAGTTAGAAGTAACCTTACTAAAAATGACTGTAACATGACCACTAATATCCTCAAATAACTAAGCAGTCATCTGTCTGTGACCATGATTTTGACTTATTCAACAGAATCCATGTGTGCGGGAGCAACACCAGTATCTCTGTTCAGTGAATATACTAGAAAATATTATTTGAAGTCAAGTTATAGGGGGATATGCTACATCACATACATTGCAAAAACTGTGAAATAATCTGCTGACTTTTCATTGATACATCATTTGATTTCAAATGATTTAAAAAAAACATATACTGAGTATCTGTGATGATCCAGGAAGTGTTTTTAGTTCTTGGGATGTATTATTGAAACAAAAAAGACAAAGACTCCTGCCCTCACGATGCTTGCATTCTAGGAGGAAGCGTTACACATTTAACAGTAAATATAAGAAAGAACTAAATTATATAGTACAGTGAAAGTTGATAACTGCTATGGGGAAAGGAAAACATAGATCAAAGTAAGGGAAATTAGGGGAGTGAGGATGGGGACAAAATGTGAGTATAAGGAATTTGCAGAATTAAATAGGATCTTTAAGATAAGCCATGTGGAGAAGGTAAGCAAAGAACAGAGCCTTGAAGTTGCTGAAAGAGTTATCAAAACAGATCCCTGGTTAAAGAACTTTCCAGGAGGAGGGAACAGCTAAAGGCTCTCATGAGTCCATAGATATTTTAACCAACTTGGAAAACCACTGTGTCAGAAAAAATTTCCAGCACGACTTTAAATATACTATGCATGTACAGAGAAATACAGCGGGAAAAATGTCAAATTAGACTAAATGAATAATTCTCCACCAGAATTTTAAAATTAATTCTAGTTCCACTGATTCCAAGTTACAGTAATAGAACTTTGCAAATAACAAAAATTCAGAGATTGCAACTACCCAATGGACACAATCACATGGAATTCCACTCTTTATTTCATGCTTTTAGTATAAAATAAACATCTTATTAATTTAGAAATGTGGGTGCATATGTTGATATTTTATTCGCCCTAAGAGACTTAGAGAAAAACTTTGTGAACTGCCCTTATACTAAATTACCAAAAAAGAGTAGATCCAACGTATTATGGATGAGAAATCTAAGCAGGAAAAGAATGAGAAAAATACCCGAGCAAGCATTTTTGTGTTCTCAGTTTCTTGCTTGGTAAATGGCATCAAAATACATGGGTTAGGTATTGTCCAAATGCTGGAGAATAAAGATTTTACAAATGTCCTGTTTCTTAGAGTAACTTAAAAAATAATTTTGATTTTTTGTTATTTGGGGATAGAATAGAAAGTAACCTCATTTTACATTTTAATAAAATGTCTTTTTTATTCAAGCCCATATAATAAGGGCCCACCAAAATACTACTTTGCTGTTAATACAAATGGAGAAAAATATAAATCATCCCTCTTAAAAGGAGTCATCTGGACCCTCTAGTCTTAGACATACTCTGCTTTAGAAAAGAAAATAAGTAATCTAGCCTAGATTTTGACTGCAGAACTTAAACTAAATCATATTTTATATTAGGTCTGTTCCAAAAGTGAAAGTCACAAAGATTGAAAAGTATACTCCTTTCAAAACCAAATTCAGTAACAAATGTGGAAATAAAATTAATTTAATTATTTTTGAATTAGTTGTAAACATAATTAGATAGCAGTCTAACTTTACCACACTATTTGTAGGAAGTGGGCAAAAAAGACACCATATTTCTGAAATTTACCCTTATCTAAATTAATTGTCTCCAGTCTGAGTTGAACATTCTAAATTACAAAAGTAAAAACATCCATTGAACAACAGGCAATACAAAAAGAAAGAAAAAAGTGTGGCCATGAATTCCATTAACTGGTGATAAACACTGGTAGCATTTTGCTACGTCTAGTTCCCTTCTACTCCCACCCTGGGGAAATATGGGTCTATGCATGCATGTATTTATAATTATTATTAACTTTAATTTTTACACCAATGACATCATACTATGGATTTGGAGACTGTTTCTTTACCTAATAGTATTGTGGGAACACATTTCCATGTCATTATTTTTAATTGTTGCATAGCATTGCACTATGGCATTCCATTTTTGACTTCTTAGTTTTTAGAGCTCTTCTTCAATTAATGTGAGCTGCTTTACAAAGCAAGAAAAGGCATTCAAATGATACTCACTTACCCTGTAAAATATTTAGAAACATGTACAGGAGAATGAAAGTTCTAATATTCGTAACATAGCCATGGCAGTTCTAGTACTGGTGAAGCCATTGCCCCATTAAAAGAGGAAATTCTAAAGTGTCAAACCAAGTGTCAGGAATAGGACATCAGGGATTTTGAGTTATACCTCAACCTTTAGCCAATTAGGAAAAACCTAAATGTGTACATTCCAATCAGACTCCTGCCTATCCTAAGAATGATGAATAAAAGCAGGAGATGGATGAGGAGAATTTGTTCCCTTTTTTCATTACCCCTAGATAACTCAGTCGACTAACGCTGAAATTATCATCACAAAAAATACTATGGGGTATAAAGGACTGAATTGTATAAATAGGAGCTATAAGTAATTGTGTATTTCCTTTCTTTTAAAAAATTATTATTATTAGTTTTGCTTCTGGTTTCTTTTTAAAACCTTAACAATACAGCTACCTTCTCATGCCTATTACCTTCCTGCTCAAATGTAATGACTCTCATGATTTTGTAGTTCCTAATCATACCTTTAAACTTTACTGTAGTATCCATAAACAATAGGCACTAGTTGTTTTATTTTAAAATTTACTAACTAGTATTATATTCTATAAAGCTAAATTGTTTCCCATATTTTCCTCTATTAAAAACAGTTTTGGGGGGACTTACCTGGTGGTCCAGTGGTTAAGACTTTGCAATGCAGGGGACGAGGGGTCGATCCCTGGTTGGGGAAGTAAGATCTCACATGCTGCGAGGCTCAGCCAAAAAAACAAAAAAAGTTCCTTAAAAAAAAAAAAAAGGATGGGTTTAAAAAAAATTTTAATACATCTTTGCACATGTTTTCCAAGCATGTTTACCATAGTTTATCTAAGGCACACACATAAAAGTTAAATTGCTCACTCATAGGCGGTCACCATCTTTACCTTCAAAGCACTAAGTTACTCTATATAGTGCTGGTAGCAATTTATTTGCATTCACAAATTTGCATTCAAAAAATTTGCATTCACACTAGCAATGTATAAAAGTATCAATTTTGCTATAGCTTCACCCGCACATAAGTATCATACTTACCAATTATTTTGCCAAATCAATACATATGAAATGGTATCTCATTTAAAAAATTTGTCTTTTCTTGACTACTAGCACTGCCATTTTATTATTCATTTTTTGTTTGTCCCCCCTTTTTACGTTTCTCTGAGCCTCCGTTCCTTCCTTCTTTTGGATTATTGAACTACTTTTAATATTCCATTTAAGCTTATCTATTGGCCTTTTGGCTAACACTCTTCGTATCATTTCTTTAGTGGTTGCTCTGGGGAGTAAAACATACATACCTTCTGTTCACAGTCTACCTAGAGTTATTATTCTGCTGCTATTTCAAGTAAAATGTAGAAGACACACCCATATAGGTTCCTTGAACCTGCCCTTGTAATTCTCATATATATTACTTTTACATACATTGAAACCCATCATAAATGTGATAATTTTTGCTTTTAACAGTCATACATGTTTTGCAGATCTTAAAAAATATAGTCCTTTATATTTACCCAGATATACACCGTTTATCCTGCTTTATTGACGTTTAATTGGTGTACAAAAAACTGCACACATTTAATCTTCTACGTAACGTGGGTTTTTTTTTTTCCTGCTTTCAAGATTTTTTTCTTTGCTTTTGAATTTCAGCAGTAATGTGTCTTGGCAAAGGTTTTTTTGTTTGTTTGTTTTAGTTTATCATGTTTGGAAGTAGTGAGCTTCTTGAATCTATAAATTTATAATTTTGTACAAATTTAGGAAAATTTTAGCCATTATTTAATACAGATTTTCTGCACCCTTTTCCTCTCCTTCTGTGACTCCAATGATATGAATATCAGTCCTTTTGATGTTGACCCACATTTCCCTGAGATTCTGCGCATATTTTTTTCTCTCAGGTCTTTAGATTGTATACCTATATTTCTATTGTCAATTTTACTGACTCTTTTGTCATCTCAAATCTGCAATTAAGCCAATCCAGTGAATTGTTACAAATATTGTGTTTTTCAATTCTAAAATTTCCATTGGATTCTTTTTTATAGTTTCTTGGCAGAAAACGTCTATCTTTTTATTCATTTCTAGTGTGTTTAACTTTACCTCCTGGAAAAGTTACTGCTCTGAAGTCTACTGGTAACTGCAATATCTGAGTCATCCTGGGATTTGATCTATTGATTATATCTTTCACTTGAAAAGTGGTCACATTTTTCTGGCTCCTGGCATATCAAGTAATTTCAGATTTTTTTCTGGACATTTTGAATACTATGCTCTTAAGCCTTGGGATCCTATTAGAATCCTCTGGACAATGTAAGGTTAATGTTAGGTTCTGTTAAGACTGCAAGTTCTGCCTTGCCTTCTGGGCTTGTAGTGGTTCTGATACCAGTTCAGTAGGTGAAGTCTTTGCTAAGCTGCTTTGGGTCAAGGCCAGTGCTTTCACTGCTCAAGGAATTGTCTATGATGGGTGGTAGTTTAAATTGTAGTTCAGTGCTCAAAGCCTCTGCTATGTTGTTTTGGGCCTGTCCAGTGCACTTGGAGCTCAAGGGTAAGCATGGGCCTTTTGCAGGTTCAGAACATAGAATCAGAAAGGTCCATTCTCTATAGCAGGAATCTGTTCTCACCCATCCATGATTTGGAAGCAGAATTTATATACATGATTTAGGGCATCCTCTTTCTTTTTTTTTTGCGGTACGTGGGCCTCTCACTGTTGTGGCCTCTCCCATTGTGGAGCAAAGGCTCCGGACGCGCAGGCTCAGCGGCCATGGCTCATGGGCCCAGCCGCTCTGCGGCATGTGGGATCTTCCCGGACCGGGGCACGAACCCGTGTCCCCTGCATCGGCAGGCGGACTTTCAACCACTGCGCCACCAGTGAAGCCCAACATCCTCCTTCTTGTTCTCTCTTTAATGGGGTTCTTTCTTGATTTTATAGTAGCAGAAGTTGCCCCAAACTCCACTCACTAGTTCTTTGTTCCAGAAGAACTGCAAGCTTTTTAATGGAGTTCACGATGCCCTCTTTACTAAATGCCACAAAAGTAACTCACTCTTTGCCATTCCCTTCAAAATGCCACCTCTCCTCCACAATATACCTAGTTTTATCTTCTTTTCTGTGCTGCTAAGCTCATCTTTTTTGCATCTTTTGTTCACTGTTTATAGTTAGTATCTGCGAGAGCGTTGGTCCAGCAGCACCTAGACCAAACCAGAAGCGTTAACTCAGAATCTTTACACTTTGTATTTATGACAGTCCTTCAGTGGTTCCACGTACATGTAGAAGTATCTCACTTTTCAACTCGCTGTCTTACTTAAGTTTTATTATTTGTCTGCATTGGGAATTAAAGCCCAATTGCAAAACATGATAGAACTAATTTCCCTCTCCTCTGTGCCACCACATCCACTGCCATTCTAAACTTCTGTCTCAATGTCAAGTTGTGGTTAGTACCCTAACTTCCACTTCCCTGTTGATTTTTGTCATTTGGGGGTACTTCTGTCTTTACTTTGAATTTGACTCTACTTTAAATTTAACTGTCACAATTTATTCACCACTTCCAGGTCTTTTCTAACAGAAGGCTTATGAAGAAGTTAGTTTAGTCTACCATTTTGTCAGAATGAGAACTCTTTCTTGGCCTTCTTTACTATTTTGTTCTTCATTTCGGAACACTCTGAAGCAGAAGCATTATATATACTTGCCATAACAGGCACTGTAACTTGGTAGGAAAGATAATGATGATGATGTTAGGGATTATAACTTCTACTGAAACAAAAATCCCTATAACCACAAGAAAATGGGAGTATTTCTTTTCTTCTATCCAAATGCTGTTTTACAAAAGTGCAATGTATACGGTACAGCTTGGTGAGATCACCATGGTTTACCACTAGCTCATATTATCAGCAGGGCATTGTTACATAAGTACCGGCATGAAATCAGGTACTGTTCACTCAGTATTAGGCAGATGAATCAGGAACACGTTTCTCTTCTTGTATTGTCCTCAAGAGCTCTTTAAATACACTGAACAGGTATATAAAAGTGAATTCAGTTACTTAGTGCCTTCTGCTTACTTAGTAGGCCTGAAATGGCTTCTAAAAATTAGTTATAACTGCAATCATAGTTATGTCTGTTTGGCTAAAAGAGGCCAAAGACCTTTTCAAAATCTAGAGCAAATAACTGGGAATGTTTATTTGGGGGATGGAGAAGGTCAACACTAAACTGTATTTCCTCAATAACTTTATCATTTCTGCTTTATTAAAAAAAAAAAAGACAGAGTGAAACTCCATGCCTATAAGATGTGCCAAAATGCTGATCTCTGTTTTGGTGAATCAGGATATGATTCTCTGATGCCCTCCACTCAATATCTATGCTCGCCCATTTGTTTCTCTCTGTTCTATCACCACAAACACACCATTGGCTTCAGTCAGCTATTTTATAAATATGTGTGTTTCTTGTCACTGGGAGACTAAATAAGCAAGAAGACGTGGATCAACAGAATGTCACTCTATTCTCAGAAGAGAAGGACTTTTCAAAGTAGCATAATCCCCTTACATCAAAAGTATATCCAATAAGGGGTTAATACTCAAAATATACAAAGAATTCATACAGCTCAACATCAAAAAAACCAAACAATTGGATTTAAAAATGCACAGAGGGTCTGAACAGACATTTTTCCAAAGAAGGCGTACAGATGGCCAACAGGCACATGAAAAGATGTTCAACATCATTAATCATCAGAGAAACGCAAAGCAAAACCACAATGAGAGATCACCTCACATCTGTCAGAATGGCTATTATCAAAAAGACAACAAACAAAAAGTGTTGGCGGGGGTGAGGAGAAAAGAGAACTCTCCTGCACTGTTGGTGGGAATGTAAATTGGTGCAGCCACTATGGAGAACAGTATGGAGATTCCTCAAAAATTAAAAATAGAACTACCATATTATCCAGCAATCCCATTCCTGGGTATTTATCCAAAGAAAAGAAAAACACTAAATTAAAAAAGACACATGCATCCCAATGTTCACTGCAGCATTATTCACAATAGCCAAGTTACAGAAGCAACCTAAGTGTCCATCAACAGATGAATGGATAAAGAAGATGTGGTGTATATATACACAGTGGAATACTATTCAGCCACAAAAAAGAGTGAAATCTTGCCATCTGTGATAAAACATGGATGGACCTATTGTACTAAGTGAAATAAGTCAGACAGAGAAAATCAAATACTGTATGATTTCACTTATATGTGGAATCTAAAAACAAAACAAATGAATAAACATAACAAAACAGAAACAGAATCATAGATACAGAAAACAAACAGGTATTTATCAGAGGGGCAGGGAGTAAGGGGAGAAAAGAAAGAGAGGAGGGAGATGAAGAAGTAAAAACTTCTAGTTGCAAAATAAATGAGTCACAGGTATGAAATGTACAGTGTGGGGATTATAATCAGTAAGTATATAATACCTTTATATGTTGACAGATTATAACTAGACGTATCATGTTGATCACTTTGAAATGTATTGAAATATTGAAATACTATGTTGTGTAACAGGAACTAACATAGCGTTGTAGCTCAGTTGTACTTCAGAAACAAACAAACTCACAGAAAAAGAGATCTGATTTGTGGTTACCAGAGGTGGGAGGTCGGTGTGGGGAGAGGGGGAATTGGATGAAAGCAGTGAAAAGGTACAAACTTCCAGTTATAAGGTAAATAAGTGCTAGGGACGTGATGTACAATGTGATAAATATGATTAGTACTGCTGTGTGTTAATACATGAAAGTTAAGAGAGTCAATCCTAAGAGTTGTCAGCACAAGGAAACTTTTTTCTAGTTCTTTAATTTTGTATCCATATGATATACTGGATGTTCACTAAACTTACTGTGATCATCATTTCATGATGTATGTAAGTCAAATCATGACACTATACCCCTTAAACTTATACAGGACTGTAGGTCAATTATATTTCAATAAGACTGGAAGAATAAAAAGGAGCATTAGCGCTGCTCTCAAGGTTGATGTACCTGACCGTTGCGAGCCACTGCGATCTGCCATGTGTACTGCAGTAATCGGCAGGTCATTTGGGAATGCTTCACAAGTAGGCATTTGCTGCAAATTATACTACATGTGACTTGAGGAAGGTTTCTGAGGAAAGTTTTCTCTTGAGTGTATGGTTAAATAACTTGCTAAAAGAGGAAAAGGACCACTTTGCATTTTGATATTTGGATCAATGCTTTTGGGACCGATTTCTGAATTTCTTGAAACTGGAAATCCTCAGTGCTTTGTTAGTTTCATAGAGATTAAAATGCTATTTTCACTGATCAGATGGAAGATGAACTCATGTCGTATGATTCTTTGAGGTTTGCTGGTGCGACATCTTACCAAGTTCTAGAAAACCACAACCCAGTAGAAATCTAACCGAGAAGCAGAAATACAAGTAAGTGCTGGTGTTCCATCTCTGATGTGTTGGGTGTTCTCTCTCTCTCCTCATCCTATCCAAGCTATTGTCAAAGGATCACAAAGGTAATCTCTTCCTGAAACTCTCATAAATAAGACAGATTGCTGCATAAAATTTGCCAGAGACAGGCCACGGTGTTTCCCTATAATGAACTTTTAAATATTGTTTCAACTACTCTTTAAATATCATGCATGATATTCATAGATAAATATCATTTATGAAACCTGACTTTGAGTGAATAGGAAATAACCATACGATAGGCAGAGCATAACAAGAAATTATTTGGGTTTTTCCCTCTTCTAGATAAAAGAGAGGAAAGGAAAATATATACTGCAATTTGATTACAATTATATACTATCTATTCTGAGCAGTTATTAATATTGTCTGATGAGTCAATTTATACTCCACTTAACCTAACCCTTTTTTTTTTTCTTTTTTTTTTTTGCGGTACGCGGGCCTCTCACTGTTGGGGCCTCCCCCGTTGCGGAGCACAGGCTCAGGACGTGGAGGCTCAGCGGCCATGGCTCACGGGCCTAGCCGCTCCGCGGCACGTGGGATCCTCCTGGACTGGGGCACGAACCTGTGTGCCCTGCATCAGCAGGCAGACTCTCAACCACTGCGCCACCAGGGAAGCCCTAACCTAACCCTTAATGTACAACTCAGTTTCCACACCCTGTATGAAATCTTTACCTGCTTCTCAGCATACACTTATCCCTCCCTTCCCTGATTCTTTTGGCCTGAACTGCATATACCATCCATTGTGCTAGTTCTTGTATGAGCTCCTCAAATCAAGGGCAGGTGTGCTCTCTTATGCAAGTTCCTGGTGCCCAGCACAGTGCCTCGTACATAAAGCTCCCATCACACTGCACTGTAAATTTGTGATCGCTCCTCGGTTTATTCCCAAACTAGACTGTAAACTCCTTGATGGTCAGGATCATGTCTTATTAGCTGTGAAATGCCTGGTATACAATAGGTAATCATAACTATATTCTGAATTTATACATTATATGCGATACTAATGTATACAAATTCACAAAGTATACACGTGTACTTTATGAAGCATGCAATATATGTAATTAAATAATGATTATGAAATATCTTACATCTCTGATTACACAAGTAAATTCCTTCAGATTAAGAACCATACCTTACCCTCCTCTTGTATCCTTACCCTGAAAGCATCAGAAATAAATTCACTAAACACTTTTTAAATTGAATAATAAGGTATAATTATGAGGAACCTCAACATTTAAGTCATGATCCACGTGTCCATAGTGATGTTCAAAACCCCTCTAAGTTCTCATCAGGAAACACTAACTGAGCACTTACTATGTGTCAGGCACTATGCTACTCATTAAGCTAGAAGGATGGAGTAAAAGAATAAAATAGGGAGGCAGCTCCTAAGGAGCTTATATTAGGGTAAGACTGACACTTAATATACTATCATAAGTAATAAACATGGATGTACACTGGATATTTTGTGAGCACAGAGGAGCACTTATTCCAACCTTGGGTTAATGTATGACTCCCAGAAGAAAATAACACCTTGAAAGATGAGTAAGCATTAGCCCAGAATAGAAAGATGGGTGTCCGTCTTAAATGGATCAAAGTGAATGAAGGCACAAAATGCTAAAGGAATATAATGTATATTTATCAGAGTATGAAATATGAAGTTAAGAGTGAGGGGGAATTAGATGTAGAGGACGACTGGATCAAGACATAAAAGGATTTATATGCCATTCTAAGGAACTTAAACTTCGTCCCATGGCCAATGGAGAGCCTCTCAGTGTCTTGAGGCCTGGAGTGATACGCTCAGGTGTACACTGTAGGGACACCGCTTTGGTTGTGGGAGGGATTGATTAAGGAGTTGGAGCAGACTGGAGTAAAAGAAAACAGGAAGCTACTGAAATTTTACAGGAAGAGATGGAGAGGGCCTCTACTTGGTTAGCAGAAGTAGGTATAAAGAGGAACAGAAAGGGAGTACATTCTAGAAACATTCTGAAGATATGATTGACATGACCTGGTGACGGATTGAAAGATGGATATATAGGAGAGAGATGAGTCGAGAATGACTTCTGTGCTCCTGGAGCAGACTGGACCACACACCAGGAGAATCAGAGTACAGAGAGCAGAGATAATGAGTACTGTCCAGTGCAGGTGTACAGCCTATATTTAGATTTCTATGACTGAATCACAGGGTAGAGGCTAGAACTGAAGGCAAAAGCATATAGGTAAAAGACAAAGACATCAGACTGAATCCGATAATTGATGAGCAGTATGTGAAGACAAAAAAGCAATGCGTTTTCACAATGAAGTCCGAGTAACATCAATATTAAGGAGAAGAGAGATGGTGAAGGAGACTTTACCTGGCATGAGTGTAAGAGGAGTGTCAAGTCTTGGACAACATCCAAAGGCATGAACGATTAACAGTAACCAACACTGTCGGGCAGGTATTACTCTGTTCCTCAATGCAAGCATTTTAGCAATGCTCCTCCGTGTTATACCTTGCCATCACACAGTTCCTATTTCTAGTAGATAGCTTTTTAAAGATGAGACTGTCTTTAAGGCACTAAGGATGCACTAAATCGTAATGCATCACAGAATGGAGAAGGGGTAGAAGCATCTGTTCACAACTGTGACCTTCCCAGTCATGCTGGGAGAGCAGAGCGGGCCTGTGGAGGTACGCTTACCGAAGAGTTGATGCCAGCTCAGCATTAATGGAAAGCCACAGATGGTGAGCTGTACGTGATGGGCGTACCCTCCCCGAGACACTTTTGGCAAACTGATGCTCTTGTGGATGGCTATTTTGACTATACCTTTGAAGACCTTAATACTGTGTCTTGATGTATATTTGATGTGGATTTTTAATGTATCTTAGAGTAAACTCTCTGCACAGCTATAGTCTTTTCTGAGCCCCAAAGGGATGTTATTTGTGAATCTTATTAAAAATTAACAGGAATCTATTTCCCATGCTGTGTCTGTCATAGATGAAGAATGGCATATGTTGATAAGCACAAGCCATTCATTGCTTTCTGGACCCAGAGGCACTGGAAAGCATCACAAATCGTGTGATGGGACTGGCAAAGCTCAATGATTTACCTAAATGATGTTCAGAATTTCACGTGTCAATAAAAGCTCCTTGGTGACTATAAATCCAGAGAACTGTATTCCTCTTTCAAAGGGAAAAATATATTATTCCATGAATTGGGTTCCAATTTATATATTCCTGACTGCACTTGCTTTTTATTCAGGCTTTGTATATTAGGAACAAAACCACGCAGGTCAGCATACCACCAATGATGGTTACAGAGTTTGAGAGAGGGCACGTAAGATGAGAATTAACTGAGAAAACCTTGCTAATACTACAGAATCCTTGTTGCAACACACCATTGTTTAAAGTATTCAAGTTCAATTCATATCTTGCTACCTTGCAAAAATGAGAAGAATGACACCCTCCCCATCAAAACTAGAAATAAAATGAAAGCTTTATGAATCACAGCCTAAAAGTTCTGGGATAATTTTTTCCATCACATGAATATCACAAAGAGATTCAGTTAGAATATCCTTCTCTGTTCATTTCAATATAATTCCCAAGATTATCTGAAATTCAGGGCAAGACAATGATGAAGAAGCAGCAGAAACTTTAAGATGCATTGGACAAGTTATTTATTCTCTGTAACCTCAGTTTCCTCGTTTGTAAAATGAAAATAGAATCCTCTGGTGTTAGTGGGAGAACCACATTATATAATGTATATAAATAAACTCTTAAGCTAGTGCTTAGTACATACGGAACAGATAATTAGGGTGGATATTCTTTATTATTATCATTATGGAGATTGCATTAACACTCATTCACTACTTGTAAATTCATTCTCTCATCTACTAGCAGGTGACATGGAAAGAATCAAAAAGTGAAGAATAATCATGAGAGAAAAACACAAAATGGACTAAATGATACTCATTAAATTTACCTATAAATTAGGAAAAATATTTCTATTATTCAATTTAATGGAGAAATATATGTCTATAGAAACACAGTTTGAAAAAGCATTTCACAAGATATAAAGTAATTAACACACTCTGAAAGATACAAACTACCTTCTATCCAGGGAGAAATTCTCTCCTGCCATAAGTATTGAGTCTTCATAGAATTTTTTGAAATGTAGAATATTTCTATTCAATCTTTTCTAAAACAAAGAAAGAAATAAGAAATAAATTACTGCGATAATTATGTCTGTTTCACCAATCTCATTCTTTTTCAAGGATATGTGCATTCGGTGTTGTGATTTTTATCTCATGTACATAGAATATAGCCATGTTTTCCGTAATTAAAATTGCTTCTCCTTTAAGTGGGAGTTCATTACATCAGCATGCATCATTTTTCCAGGCGTTTTGCCACCTGAACAAATTTGAGAAACCCCAAGCTATGGTATGAGGATGGCTAATTTCAGGAGTAAGCTGTAAATCTCCAGCAATGAAGAATTATGCTGAGTTTGAAGGACTCCAGTGGAAGACATGATGAAGTGAGGTGGTAGAAAGACGGTATTGTCATAATAGTGGGTAGTTAAACAATCAGGATACAGTGCTTGGGTACTTTGTAAAATAGTTCCCACACATAAAAATGCACTGACTGGATGAATGCTGGTATCCCACCAGAAGAGACAAACACCAAGACAAGTGTTTATAACAAAGAAACATTCCCAAGCATCACGAGGGAAAAATCCAAATATTCAATATTCATTCTTAATGAAAACCTGAGAAAAGCAGGTAGTAGCAGGAGAATATGACTTAATTATAAACAGAAAAGATGAAACATTTCTGAACCTGACACTATCCCATGAAGAGTTCCAAGAATGTGACATTTAGTAGTCAAGAAGCCATTGTTACGAATGCATTCACATACTCAATTCACACTTACCTCATCCTGGATTCAGAGGTAGACAAGATGCTGCCTAGGATGACAAAACTCTTAGTATATTTGGAAAACAGATGAGAAAGTAAAACAGTCACTGAACAGTGACTTAACTGATGTAGGGTCACAGATGAGGATCACCTCACTTGGCTTGGGGTTGCCAGAATACTTCCAAGAGGAGAAGACACTTAAGCTGGCCTTGAAAGACATGAAGGAATGCCTAGAATGACAAGAAAGGATAGAAAACATTTCAGTACACAGAGACTCAGAAGTACAAGAGTAGACAAAGTAACTAGGAGGATAACAAGTAGTATTTCATTGCAGAATATACTGTGTTGAGTAGGAGAATGTCTGTAGGAAGATAACAGGGACCCCAGTCATGAAGCCTTATATAAAAAAGTGATTCAAATATGTCTGGAGTCTAGCTTCTTCTGGAGGGCTGACTCCAGTGTTCTGTGTGTTCTGGCACAACAGCAGATGTCAATAGTGTCTCTTATCCATGGCTTGCAATACTTAGGCCACAAGGGCAAATACCAGAATCATCTTTGAGAGGAAATGACCAGCAAATTTTGAGCCAGGAATTTTTGTCTAAAAGTAGCAGGGGATCTTGAGCCAAGCATGAGAAGCCAAGATCTAATGCCAAATGGGAATCTGAGAACTACACAGCTGAGTGCAAAGAGCAGGAGGACAGAATGGGCAAATTGTTATCAATTGGGATAAATTCTGGAGGAAGCTGAAAATCCCACGATGGGATGTTTCAGCACTCTTGGCGGTTTGCTTATATGAGAGGTTGGTCTGACGATCCACAGTAGATGAGTTATTTGGCACACAGTAGGCTCTCTGTAGGGTGTGTGATTGTTTTAATTTGTCTACTTAACATGTGTTGATTTGTCTACTTAACATATGTGCCTATATGTAATGATTCAGCTTAGAGCCAAGAATCTCTAATGGCAGGTAATCATTTAGGATATTTACTAGCCACATGAGTATCTTATCCCTTCAAAATAATTCTGTTTGTCACTGTACATCAAGTCCTATTATAGTGCCCAGAGAAGATGTTCTCTGAGCTGAACTGAACTGAAAGAGCCCTCCAGTGCAGCCTCCTGGCCCTGTGAGTCCCACCCCACCCATTGGAAGGTCTACCGAAATTGTGGCAGATCAGTGATTTCTACACATTCCTCAGTTTCAATTTTCAAATGGACAGATTGGTTTTAAAAGCAGTAACAATACAACCATCAGCCTTATATCAAAATTAAAATAAACAGTTTTATACAAAACAGTAAACTAAAGTTAAGAAAAACATCAGACCATATAACAAGATATTGAAGAATGCTTTACAAAGAACTATCTTCATAACAGCAAAAAAAGATTTTTTATCATTAACAAATGATGACAAAGAATTTTTATGATTTAAAATGGGTTTTCAGTTTTACAGATTATTTGTAGATGTATAACAAAACCATGGAATTTTGAGAGCTGAAAGAAAAGAGCTTGTCTGACTCAATCCCTTGCTATTAATGAATGGAGACCCACAGAATGGTTTACTCCAAAGTTCTTTTTGTGCAACTCTTTTTTCAGTACTTGATGATACACTAAAATCAGGTACATCAGAGTCTTTATTTTCCTTAACTACACGTTTTTAAGTAAAGGCATTGTGCAAAGGTGAATATCTTGGCATCTCCATACTGCAGCACAGAGCAAGGCATTTGATACAAAGTCAATGAATATTTGTTGGATGAATGAATAAGTGAATGCATGCTCCTTCATGTATGTAGTCTGCCTATGTATCACACATAGGGTTGCTATCTCACTCATTAATAAGCTCACTAATGTATATCCATTCTCTGCATCATCTATACTAGACTTCATCCTAGAACTCCTTACTTAGTGATGGATACCAGGTACCTGATTTGTTCCATGTTTCTGAATCTAGATTTCTTAAGACCGATGAGTTCATTTGGTGTCAAAGGTTTCCCCATCTCCTATTCCTAGAGGCTTAACACAATTATCTACCCCTAAGGATCTTACATTTTTCAGACCAATTCTGAAGACTGGTTGATTATGGATTAATCCCAGCATTAGGATCTCAAGGGAAGCTAAATTGTTTTATACCTGATCCTTCATATTTTTATGGCAAAGATTAAGAATTTGCTTTGAATGCATGAAATTGCCCTAAGATGAGACATGCTATCAGCACTAAAGTAAACAAAGTCTGTTTCCAGCTAATGTGAAACTGACCAAGATGGCAATCTGAGTTAACACTTTTTTTTTTAACTATTTACTCAGTACCATTTATATTGACACATAACATTATAGTAGTCTCAATTGTACAATGTAATGATGCCATATTTGTATATATTACAAAATATCACCTTAATATTGTCTCTATACACAGTTACAAAAATTATTTCTTGTGGTGGGAACTTTTAAGATTAATTCTCTTAGCAACTTTCAAATATGCAATAGAGCATTATTAACTACTGTCACCATGTTGTACATTACATCCCCATGACTTATTATTTTATAATGGGAAGTTTGTACTTTTTGACATGTGTGCTCAGTAACAAATTTTTACATAAAATCCAATTAACCCAGAAAGTCACTTTAATACTGGTGCTTCCTTGGGAGATTCACAGAAATATTGGGGAAACCAGTTACCCTCTTGGCCAGTGTGGTTCTCTGAAAGACTTGTCTTTTTTTCAGGAACATCTGAAGTGTATCCACACACTTTATTTCCATATCAGTTTGGCTAATACCTGACACACATTGAGTGGCACATATTCCAATATTGGTCCAGATAAATATTACTCCTGGGTGGGTAGAGATTTTATTTCAAGATGAAGAAAAGAAACTTGGAAAATGGAGGTGATTTTCAACACCATTTTGTATCTTTATTTCACTTATATTTTTCTAATACGCTGAAATGTGAATTAACACTTTCTTTGATTTGAATCCACCTAGAAGAGGCCAGGTTGAACCACTAAGCCATTCAGAAAAACTGTCTAAAAGACATAATCCACTAGCCAATGTTCTTTGTAAACAGATGACAAGAGATACTGGCTTAATACTAAAAGAATAATCAATACTTTCTTTTTCATTAGATTTTCTTGCAGAAGATCCCTGAGGTGAGGGGTCAATAGGGTATTTATTCCTCAGAGCTCACAAATAAATAGGGTTGTGTGGGCTAAATATTATTGGGATTGTGATCTTCGGTGGGACCACTGCTTGAGACATATTCTCCTGCCAGTAAGAAGGGAAGGAAGCAGCAGATGACAACAGTGGGAGTCTTAAGTTATGGGACAGCAAGTTATCGCCATTCCCTTGCTTTCGTATTCCATAGAATTCACTATGCAAAGCTCTGACAATGCTGTTGAATGAATGCTATAAAGACAGAATTTTCAAAGAATTCTCTCTGCGGCAGAAGATACAATGGCAATTTTTTTTTGATGTTTTAATTTTTGTTCTTATTTTCAATAGAAAATGGAAATTAACAATAGTACCATTCTTCTCACAATTTGAATTCCTTCCCTTTCAGTGAAACTAATTTCTGTGCCTGTTGGTTATTCATATTGTAGCAGAATAATTACAGAAAAAGATGCTCACCTGTCATTATGCAATGTTCTAGATGAAAAAAACTAAGCATCTTTCTTTTAATAACAGAAACATGTAAAATATAATAGGAAGGTATCCTTTACAAGAACAGTTTATGTTTTCTCTAAGGCACCTGTTTTATTCTCCTATGAGATTGTATTCATGTTTCAAAAGTCTTATTCGTCAGGATATTGAGTAACTTGATAAGTTGCTATTATTTAGAGCATATATTAAATAAACATATTTGCAATGAGTTGACTGAAGAATTTAAATTCATTGGAGAGTTATGATGAAATAGATTTCTTTGTTCTAGTAGCTGCCCTCCACTATCGTATGTTGAATCTAACCTTCCCATTGGGTAAAAGATCTCTTCATAATATCTTGGGTCTGATTCCAAAACTTTCCCGATATGTATTGATGTTAGAATTTTCTCATTTCATATTTAAGCCAATATTTTAAACTATAACACCAAACTCTTTATTAAGTTTGTCTTCATCCAATGTTTCATGCTAACTAGACATGAGCTAAGCACTCTGCAGATGTTATTCCCTGACAGAACACTATAAAGTAAATATTTTCATTATCCCCATTTTACAGATGAGGAAATCGAGGTTCACAGAAGTTAAGTTACTTGTACAATATGCATAATAATGAGCAGCAAGTAACCTTAGCTGCCTAATTCCACAGCCTGAGAAATTTCCAGTAGAATACAATAATCAATAGTAAAGGTTTCATATCACCATTTTATGACAGACCATTTTTTAAAAAGAAAGGCATTTGTAACTGTCTGTAATTGTCTGTAATTGACATTCCTTAAACATGCATCTTGCTTATTTCCCATGAGGCTTCAGATGTTAAAAATCTATAAATTTATTTTCTCCCTTAAGAAAAAAGGCCCTATTTCATTTTTCTTCAAGAACCTTTGATGTGACCAATTTCTAACACCCAATCATTATAAATACATCAATAGATCAGCAATATCAATATTATTAAGTGTTTTATATGTGGACAGTATTAACTGTAAAATCAAGATTCCTTATTTACAAGTTACATAGCTGAACATAACAGAGACCCTACTGCTTCTTTTCCATGTTATTCAAAGAGGTATAGCAGGGTTTTGTTTTGTGGGTTTGTTTTTGTTTTTGTTTTTGTTTTGACAGTCGTTCCAAAAGTACACATTTCCTATTTTGCCACATTGATTCTTTTCTTGGACCTATGCTCTCCATTTCCTTTGGTTTCTGTTTGACTTCTAAAGCATCAACAACTGTTAGACATTCACTTAGCTTGTCATTCATCCACCGTTTTTACTTCCTTGGCCAACAGTTAACCTTCAAAACCATGTTATCTGGAATTGCTGACAAGTGTATTTTCAATTTTCCCCAAGTACTCCCTTAGCAGTTTTGTTGTAAAGTGAAGACCAACACGTTCCTTTTCTCAAAGACCAACTTAGAAGAAGCTCTGCATAATCTCCCTTTCAAAACTCTCATGATTTTTTTTCTCTTCTTTTGATAATACATTACTTTTGTTTTACTGCTCAAGTCTAATGTATATCTGAAAGCCCTTCTAAGTGTTCTTGGCATTAGATCATTTACTTTGAACAATACTTGATATTAAATACTATATGACTTG